ATTTCTAAGTATTAGAAATGATTGATGTCTAAGTCTTTTGGTTTAAGGATTCAACTTCAAAACTACAACTTATTTGGTGTCTTGGGGGATGTTTGTGGGTGTATTTGGAGTGGCACTGAAATGCAATATTTTATGCAATAACTTGCTTCTGTATTGATCTGTCCTGTTTTTGTTTTCATTGGAAACATCCACAGTTTTCGGTTCTTTTATTCGCTATCAGCTTTTTCTACTTTTTGCAAGTCCTAAAGATGTTCATCGTTTGAATTATTTCCATATATTATTTTATTTATATAATATTGAAAATTCTAAAGCCCCATGCCTCGAGGGATAGATACATCGCCTAACGAGAAACAAAATGTCTTACCTTATGGCTTCACTTTTTAAAACCTGTTTACTAGTGAGAAAAAGTGTAAAGAAGAATTCTTCATCAACTTTAAGTCTCCTTCTGGTTCAGCAATATCTTGACACGATTTTTTGTTCTGAGAAGTATTCGGTTATGCTGTGCTACCATTTGTTAGAAAGAGGAGACCTCTTCAATATAAAATATTCAACTTGTTGTGAACTCTGAGAAATTGCAATTGCTGTCCTTCATTCTTTCTTTTCTTTTGTAGTGCGGATGCCATAGAACGAGCTTTCCAGATCCTTGACCAAATTCCTGGGAGAGCAACTGGTGCATACAGCCACAGTCAGGTGACTATCTTGTCGAGCTTGTTCCTGTTTTCCAGAGTGTTGTATAGGGCCGATAATAGAAAGCTTTTTATTTTTGTTTCCTAAATAGGGTATCAAAGGATTACGCGATACAATCGCTTCTGGTATTGAAGCTCGTGATGGCTTCCCTGCGGATCCAAATGATCTTTTCTTGACTGATGGTGCAAGCCCAGCGGTAAGTTATATTTATATCCTTGTCATTTTCACAGCTTTGAGGAAAGTAGCTTGTAGCAAATCTCACGTAGTTGGTAATGTTGGTTCTTTCCCTTTTTTCAGGTTCACATGATGATGCAGCTGCTCATCAGGTCAGAGAATGATGGAATTCTCTGTCCCATTCCCCAGTATCCTCTTTACTCTGCTTCAATTGCCCTCCATGGTGGAACTCTTGTATGTACCATTGCTTCAAAATAAAATTGATTTGTGCTAGTTGTTTAGTTGGCTGAAAATGAAACTGAAGATTAATGTCTATACAAATGTTACTGAATGCCGTGTTTGACCGCTCTTATGAGAGCTTTCCTTGAAAGTACCACTAGTGCATGCATTACTCTGATCACCTTATTCTTCAAAGACCCTTTATTTGATTCTTGAAAGGTAATCCTTTGAGAAGTTCTTAATATTTGCATATCATCGGGTTTTGTAGGTTCCTTATTATCTTGATGAACAAACAGGATGGGGGCTTGAGATCTCAGAACTTGAGCAACAGCTGAAAACTGCAAAATCCAAGGGTATTGATGTTAGGGCTTTGGTTGTGATCAATCCAGGCAACCCTACTGGGCAGGTAGGCTTTTAATAGAGATTTTGGATGGCTCATTTATGATTTTTCTTCAGAAATAGGAACATAATATACATCTCTGACAAGAGACTGCTGCCATGGAATATGGTTAGTTTTAAATTTTAAAAAAAGGTTAAAAAAGAAAAAATAGAAATAAAACCCCTATTTAACCATTTCATGTGGTATGAATATTTTTCTATGCATAACTATAGGTTCTTGGTGAGGCCAATCAACGGGAAATTGTAGAGTTCTGCAAGAGGGAAGGCCTTGTCCTTCTGGCTGATGAAGTGAGTTAATTATCCTCTTAAATTCTTCTATGCTTGATATGACAAATTCTTTTGCTTCTGTCAGCAGCTTGTTTAGCAGTGACTCTGAACTTGTTTTTTGATGTATCACTATCAGATTTTGCATTTCTAAGCAATCTGGGGTTGTATTAGACTTCACTGTTGTAATTCTCTTTCATAATTTGTGGAACTCATACAGGTCTATCAAGAAAATGTTTACGTGCCTGACAAGAAATTCCACTCATTTAAAAAAATTTCCCGCTCTATGGGATATGGTGAAAAGGATATATCTTTAGTGTCTTTCCAGTCCGTGTCAAAAGGTACATATTTCCCTTTACCTTGTCATTTCTTTGGGTGGTGCATCGGAGTGGTTTAAGAGGGGATAGGGGTTCTATTCTTCCAAATGCAAATAATTTTATTCTAATATTTTCATTTACCTTGGCGACTTTAGGATTCTATGGAGAGTGTGGAAAGCGAGGAGGTTACATGGAGGTCACTGGTTTTAGCCCTGAAGTGAGGGAACAGATATACAAACTGTCGTCTGTCAATCTGTGTTCCAATATCTCTGGTCAGATACTTGCAAGCCTCGTCATGAGTCCCCCAAAGGTTAGTATTGCTATTTCCTAATAATGTGTTGCCTTGCATATTCCCGGAGGAAAAGGTTTATGCAGAGAGCATGGGTACATGCAGGTGGGAGATGAATCATATGAGTCTTTTTCTGCTGAGAAAGAAGGAATACTCTCTTCCTTGGCAAGACGTGCAAAGGTTAGCGAGAACTTACATATAGGATATTGATGCTATTATATAATTAGCTAGTTCATTTGAAGTACGAGAAACTGAACCTGAACATAAGAAGTGCTTAATATAGCAGGCAAAAAATGATGTCTGAAATTTGCTCCTATAGAGTTCATATTTTAGCTTCATCTTTTGAGTTTATATCTGTCAACTTGTTAAATCTTCTTTTTGTCTCGTCTTTTTTGCCCCTCTTTTAATGATACCATCAGACACTAGAAGATGCATTAAATAGTTTGGAAGGAGTGACATGCAATAGAGCAGAAGGGGCTATGTATCTCTTTCCACGTATTAACTTGCCCGATAAAGCAATAAAAGCAGCAGAAGCAGCTAAAACTGCACCAGATGCCTTTTATGCTCGACGCCTCCTTAATGCCACTGGAATCGTTGTTGTTCCAGGCTCTGGATTTCGTCAGGTAATTGTTACATTTGTAGCTTTGCCATCTAGTCAATGCCATTATTAATATTGATAGCCTTTGGTAATAGTCTCCGACCATTTTCAGTAAACTTGCATGAACTGTTCACTTGAATGGTTAAAATGTCATCAGAGAAAAAGCAAGCATTTCTGATTATCCTGTACATGTTTGTCTCTCTTGCACTGAATTGGTTGTTGCTTCTGTATAGGTTCCTGGAACCTGGCATTTTAGGTGCACAATATTACCACAAGAAGAGAAGATACCAGCTATTGTATCCCGTCTTACCGAATTCCATGAGAAGTTCATGAATGAATTTCGCGGCTAAGAAATCTGCTCCTAGCGAATCCTAATCATAGAGAATTTTGAATAAGCACAGATTGGCTCTTGTCTGCGGATGTTTTTGTTTGGCCTCTACTTAATATAGTCGAACTGTCAGGACTTTAATGTCCCAAATTTTGGGGATTGTTTGTCATTTTCTATTTCGGATTCGCCCTTCCTCGTAGTTGAAGCGTATAAGCTTCAGCTCAAACTGTAGCCTGTTAATTTATCCCAAGCCCAGACGTGCAGTGGAAATATAAATGTGATTTGTGCAATACATTGATCATGTAACTAGTGCAGCAACTTCTCAGACCATCACAATTATATCATATCTAAAACATAAAATAATGGATTCAGTTCATTAACAAACTCCAGACTCTACTACAAGATAATGGATGTAAAAGGAACAACGAAGAGGCCTGATCTAACATTCACAGCTGATGTAAAATTAGAGACACTTGGGTTTTGTACTTTCCACTTTAACTCAACACATGCCGTATTCAAACAATTGTATTATTGAGCGACTTTAAAACTTCTTTTTGTTTTGTTCCTAGCTAGAAAAGTGTGGCGAATGAGAGGTTATATACCATATCTCCATATAAATTGTATTATTGAGAGACCCACACGCAAACTAATCAAACAGAAAAATAGTGCTATCAGCTGACCAGATGATCGATCAGTCATCACCAACATCAACAGTTAAAAGATAAGCTGAACCCATCGGCCCCAGAACCATATTTAGCTTAATATTTTCTATACAACTTATTATTTGAAGCTCCACTGCAGTAGTGTAGGAGAAAGACATAAAAGGATTCTCCTCTCTTTCTTTCCGCTCCAAATTTTGGCATTAGGATCAATGGGTGTTAGATACTTTCTTTCAGCTCCTACACTTACTCTGAATTCATCTTCGTCCGAAAGGGAAAAGCCTGCCCACAGACTCTTGGTGCATGCAAGCAGTAGCAATATCTCAATCAACAATAATACAATCACAACTACTTTTAATCATCTTCAGTTTCCAACATAAAGCTTAAGGTTTTACTCCAAGCCATACCAATCTGTTAAAGTTTCGGTCTTTTTCTTTCGTGTTATATATATATTGCCCCTCAATTCGAAGATCAGTAGTTTGTTATAGAGATGAGAAGGGAGAGATCACATGTGAAGGATATGATGAAGGTCCTCGTTTCTGCCACCCTGCTAGCTGCATAGTTTGAAAAACTGAGTTCTAAAAAGACAAGCTCCAAGCAGCATCAGACATCACTATTCTTCGAGTTGGTGGAGGAAAAGCGCACATCTCAGGCACCTGTGCCACATTCACATTTTCCAGTTCTATGAAGGTATAGTACCATATTTATTACAATGTCAACTTCTTCAAACACATAATTCGAGAGGTTTATTAGTTCAAACTATTGTGTTGTTTTTTCATCAATCATTCGAGTTCTATATAATATTGGTTGGTATTCAATTGGGATTATTTTGGTCGGTAATGGTATTAATCAAAGAGAGAAATTTTGTCCTTGTATTAACATTGTTATAAACTGAAGAAAAGACGCACTTAATTAAGGCTTTAATTTTATATAATGTAAAAGAGCTTCTAAAGTATGATTTAATTAAATGTCCATCATAAAAAACCGTAAGTCCTGCTTGTTTAGAGTACAAGGTAGTATAATACTCGTACCAAATCCAACATTAGTTATCCTCATAAAAAATATTTACATGTATTATTTTATATGGAATAAAATATGAAATAGCAATGCGAAGTATTAGCAATATAATACATGAATTGGAACATCCAAACAACAAAGCTAACCCTCATAATAATGGACAAACTTTTTTATTCTATTATTTCAAGCAAAGTTGGAGGAAAGCTAAGGCTATAAATACAACATATATTAGGAGAAACCTTAGAATATACTACTTATATAAATATGGAGGCTGCGCTATGCCTTTGGCATTGTGAATTTTCTATTGGAGGATAGAAACTTCTGTCGTAGCTCCGCCGCATCGATGTCATTGAAATGTGTTTCTGGGATCCAGTTTCCAGTCTTGGGATCTCTCATCCAAAATATCTCCTTCCCTACGCTTTTCTCAATATTGTTTGAAGAAGAAGAAGAAGAAGACTCGGCCACCTTCCTAATATTGGAAGTAACAGGCCGTCGTCCTATATTCTCCGCTGCTACTTTGTATCCTCTCCTGCACCAACAAAAAAATAGCTAACTACTCCACTCTTCCATTCATGTTTAAGTTTCCATAAAATAGATTTGTTAAACTTGTGATTTAAAACATGTCATGACATTTATATGACTATAAATTGAGAAACTTAAAGTTAAATTATTTTCAAAATATATAACTTTTTGTTCGGATGGTTGATATGTATCGTTTTATATTGTATCATATCTTATTGTATTGTATTGTACTGTATTGTTTTGATGTATATAATTTTTGGATATATTCTATTGTTTGTTGTCGTTTCATGTAGAGTGTCAATTGATATTTAAAAACCGACCGAACCGTACCGATTTTCAGGTTTCTTTTAATAAAACCGTAGGTTTTAATATAAATTTATAACTGTATCGATAATTAGGGTAGGTTTATTATTTTATGAAAATAAACCGAAAAACTACCGAATCGTACCGAATAAATTTAGATGTGAAAAATATATTTATTTATTAAGTTTAAAAATAATAAAGTATTACATTTTTCCTTGGGCCTTGGAGTTATGAAAACGGTTACAAGCCAACAGCTAAACTCAAAATTCTAATTCCCTGACCTATTATGCTACTCCTATTGAAATTAAATTATTTTCAACATATTCACTAGAAAGACACAAGGTATTCTAGCAATTATGAGTAGCAAACTATAATGAATTGAATATGTTTCCTTTCGTATGATTTAAGCTTATCTTTTGAATATTTAATCTTCTATACACTTTTTCTCGAGTCCAAGCTTGGTTCATACTCTTTGTCTTTTCTATGTTTCTTTTACACTACTATAGAATAGTCGATGGATCTATACTCTGACCATCTTTCATGTTTTCTTAATTCATCACCTTTTAAACAGTAAAAATGTATAGAGAGTTTTGTGAAGCCCTATAAAAGTAGGCAGGTTGTTGCATTCTACTTCTACTAGTGACTTTTATATGACACTAAAAAATAAATAACTGGAAATTAACCGAGCCGTACTGATACCGAAGAGAAACCGACATGATTGGGGCAGTTTCGGAAAAATTAATTTTGGTTACACATAATAGAATAATCGAAAAAATAGTATGGTACAAATTTTATAAAATAATCGGCCGAACCGAACCATTGACACCCCTAGTTTCATGATATTATACACCAATAATATGAAGAATAAACTTGCAATTTTACAAAGAAAAAGTAAGATACGAGTTAGAATTATTATATCTTGGAAAATGCTAAAATAGAATTATTTAATAATAATGAAGGGGCAAGATAAGAGGAAAATCAAATCGATCGTCACATAAAGTGGTACTTTTCGTTGTTACGTAACGACGGGTTTTAATACATAATACGATACAATATAATTTAAGTAACAATCAAAATAAATCTTGTACTTAAATTAACAATACGATATCTAGGTAACCTATCCAAACAAGATCAAGCAATGTAATAGTTTTCACATGTTCTTGTGAGAATAAACATTCAAAAAAAAAAAGGCGTGGTAGGGAAGGTAGTTTGATATCTAACCTGAGATGAAGAAGGAGATTAAAGCTGCTGAACGGAACCCTAGGCATGATGAAGAATTTCAAGATGCGTTATAGATTGACAATATGTTTGTATGTTAACCAATATGTTTTTTAAGTTGAGTTAAGGACTTGAGGGTTAAATGAAAGCTATATAT